GAGTGAGACTCTGCAGTATGAGCGTGGGGCTGTATGGGCGCGCATCCTCAGAGTACCTGGTGGTACTCGCCACACTCCCACTCACTCACGGCCGTGTTGAGCGTCGGTCTAGTGCTGGCTGTCGAGGTGTGGGGCAGGTGTGGGAGGTGTAGGGCAGGTGTGGGAGGTGTGGGGCAGGTGTGGGAGGTGTGGGGCAGGTGTGGGACTTGGGAGGCAGATGTGTGAAAGGTGTGTGCGAGTTAGAGGCAGGTGGGCGAGTGAAAGGCAGGTGTCATGTGGCAGTCATACGGGGGTGTGTGTGTGTGTGTGTGTGTGTGTGTGTGTGTGTGTGTGTGTGTGTGTGTGTAGTCTCCTTGGGTGGCAGGAAACGGATGTGCATAAGCGTAAGCCAACTGCTGATTCACACACACACACACACACACGTACGTGTCTGGTGTGTGTGTGTGTGTGTGTGTGTGTGTGTGTGTGTTAGGGTGTCTACGTAATCACCTAGGTGTGCTTACGGGGGTTAAGCTTTGGCTCTTTGGTCCGGCCTCTCAACTGTCAATCAACTGGTGTACAAATTCTAGAGCCTGCTGGGCTCTATAAATCTACATTTGAAACTGTGTGCGTGCGTGCGTGTTTGTGTGTGTGTGTGTTTTTTTTCCTCGAGTGTTGACTGCGCCGGCACTCAAGAGCCAAGCTCCAGCACAGCACCAAGCACAACAGAGGCTCAGGAGCTTCCGACGAGAGGAGAGACTCACTCTTCTCACTTGAAGAGAGAGTGACCAAAGGAGACATGATAACGACATACACAATTCATCAGGACGATGCATAAACTCTATAAATAACTATATTGAGCATGATGTCTACAACAATAAAGTTGAGGGTTTTTAAGATCTTAATTCCTTGTCTTACAGTCGATCCACTTGAGAGTGTTAAGAAAGTCCCAGTTGCGTCTGGGTACAAGTGACAGGATGAACGTCCCAGCGGGTTTTCTTCCTACTAGGGAGTGTAGTACCAACCTCTTCATTTCTAGCACGTCGCATTTTGACGTATACTTAACCCAAGGCCATAAAATGATGTACAAGAAAATTGATACGGGTTCGCGAAATTGACAATGTCCCGTTTTCTGTTGGTTGGTCCTCTGGATGGTTAAGTTAGGTCACTTTAGGACGACACTTTGTTGACGTTGGGAACGCTGGTTGAACATGCTGCTGCTGTTGTTGTTAAAGATTCGCTACCTGGAACAGAGTTCCAAGTAGCACGGGCTATGGTGCGCCCGTAGTGCCTTATTTGAACATGCTGCTGTGTTCACTCACAGGATGAGTGCAGCCTATCCTCCTCTTTTGGTGGTACTTATAGTAACTATGAGCAATCTTGAGGTTATCTTGACATGATTTCGGGGCTTAGCGTCCCCGCGGCCCGGTCCTCGACCAGGGGCTAGATTCACTAAAGCACTTACGAACCTGTACATCTTTTCTCAACCTTTGAAGACTTTGTTTCCAATTATTAAACAGTTAATGAGCTCCGAAGCACCAGGAGGCTGTTTATAACAATACCAACAGTTGAATGGGAAGTTTTCATGCTTGCAAATGGTTTATTAAATGTAACTAAAGCCGTCAAATATTGAGGAAAGATGTACACGTTCGTAAATGCTTGCGTAAGTGCTTTCGTGAATCTGGCCCCTGGCCTCCTTTTTGTTACACCCCCCCCCCCAGGAAGCAGCCCGTAGCAGCTGTCTAACTCCCACGATGGTCAATAATGATCATAGTACATATACGGACGTACAACGAAATTAGAAAGTAGAAATCTGAACTATTGAGTTGGACAAACCGGAAAACTTTTTTTTTTTTTACTTGTGTTGCTTTAACACACTAAACTAAGCTATCCTAACCTCCCTATCTTGAGGTTATCTTGAGGTTATCTTGAGATGATTTTGGGGCTTTAGTGTCCCCGCGGCCCGGTCCTCGACCAGGCCTCCACCCCCCAGGAAGCAGCCCGTGACAGCTGGCTAACATCCAGGTACCTATTTTACTGCTAGGTAACAGGGGCATAGGGTGAAAGAAACTCTGCCCATTGTTTCTCGCCGGCGCCCGGGATCGAACCCGGGACCACAGGATCACAAGTACAGCGTGCTGTCTGCTCGGCCGACCGGCTCCCTAGGCCTAATGCACGCTATCCGAGGCCTAATATAGTACATATGTGTACTATACTAGGCCTGGGAATATTGAAGTTTGTATTTTAGCTTCATTTATTTTAAAAGAAATCCTTACTAGTCAGTATACTACTGTCTAAAAGCTAAGAAGTTACGAATTTTGACTATTGATGACAGTCACAATAGGTACTGTCTAAACAGGAGGATGGCCCAGTAAACTCTGCCATGGGACCCAACCACTTGGCCTGGACGGTAGAGCAACGATCTCGCTTTATCCAGGTCGGCGTTCAATCCCCGACCGTCCAAGTGGTTGGGCACCATTCCTTCCCCCCCGTCCCATTCCAAATCCTTATCCTGACCCCTTCCCAGTGCTATATAGTCGTAATGGTTTGGCGCTTTCCCCTCATGACTCCCTCCCTCCCTGACAACATTGTAATTTAAAAACAAGCAGGTATGATGGACACCAGTTGAGCAGAGGACACGTTGCAAGCAGGTATGATGGACACCAGTTGAGCAGAGGACACGTTTCAAAAGGGTATTTTCAACCTAAGTAATTCTCCAAGAGAAAGCGACAAGCCAATATAACGCAGTATTTTTTTTTTAAATTTTGCCCCGAGGGGCGAGTTTATTGGGCAGCGCCACTCATCTTGTGAGTGAACACACCGCTATAGTGACAGTATTGGGCAGCGCCACTCATCTTGTGAGTGAACATACCGCCATAGTGACAGTATTGGGCAGCGCCACTCATCTTGTGAGTGAACACACCGCCATAGTGACAGTATTGGGCAGCGCCACTCATCTTGTGAGTGGACATACCGCCATAGTGACAGTATTGGGCAGCGCCACTCATCTTGTGAGTGAACACACCGCCATAGTGACAGTATTGGGCAGCGCCACTCATCTTGTGAGTGAACATACCGCCATAGCAGAATGTACAACACTCCCCAATAGGAAGAAAACCCGCTGGGTTGTTCATCCTGTCACTTGTACCCAGACACAGCTGGGACTGTATTATAGCGTCATAGTAGTTAACATGTGGAATAGGGGCAAGCGAGGCGGGCGATACAGTATGGTAAAGGGTCCTCATGGCAGAGCCTAACACACACACTCACACCACTAAAATAACAACAAAAGCCGCTTTTGAAGTCGATCAGAGATAGGACATGGGAGAACACATGTCCGGTTGGCCCCACACAAAAGTTCAGGTTCGCCCCTCGTCATTACATACGTCAGACCAATTCTGAAATATGTGGCGCCAATAAAGACCGTACCTCGTCAAACACAAAATAATTCTGGGAGAGAAAGTTCAGTTGGGCAGCAAACTAGTCAAGGGTTGATCAGCAGGCGTTACGAGGAGATACTTAACTTAACGACACAGAAGAAACAGCCTAGAAACACTTCTTTAAATGCAGATTTGATAATAAACTAAAGGGTTCTGTAACCTATATACCAATCGATTGAAGGTCCCCGTGGCGCAGTGGTAAAACACTCGCCCGGCGCTTCGCAAGCGCTTTGGCCTGGTTTCGTATCCTGGCCGGGGAGGATCGACAGGGCGCCAATCCTTAATTGTATCCTCTGTTTACCAATCAGTGAATGGGTTGTTAAACGATTTGGCGGGTCGTATTCCGGTGGAAAATTAGGATTAAGAACCTGCCCGAAACGCTATGCGTGCTAGTGCCTTTATAAGAATGTAACATTATGATATGTGAATAAATGAAAAGAGGTAGAGTGGCGGGACCCAAGAGCCGCAGGTCAACCCCCGTGAGGACAGCTAGGCGAGGACAGGCAGGCACGCCTCCTGGTGGCGGGGGCGGGACGCGCCCGTCACCCTGTGCGCGGACGGCAGTTACAAGCGGAAGCCACCCACTGCCTGGCCCGCAGCACGGTGTGGGAGTGTCGCTGTGTGCGCGGCGTGGTTACTGATGGCCAGGTCAGGGATGGTAGGATAGGCGCCGGTGGGGGGGGGGGGAGGGGGAAGGGGTCTGACGGGGGCACGCCAGGGATGGGCAGGATAGGCGCGGAGGGCATTGATGCGTCAGGATAGGCGCGGAGTACTGAGAGGGGCTTCAGAGCAGGAATGTCATCACGAATTGCACAAAATAAGACTACACAAATCTACGAAAGGGCAAGGGTAGTCAAGCAACGGGGTGTTGGCAATGTTGCTTCTGGTACGTGGGGATATAGATGGGGTTTGATAGGTGTAGGGTATGGGTGGGGGGGGGATGTGTGGGGTGTGGGAGGTGGTAGGAGAGGGGGGGGGCAGGTGTGGGCTGTGCAGGAAGTGTGGGTTTAGTGTGTGTGGGAACATAAGGCAGCCTGGGAGATTGTTCTTCTTTGGGAATTGAACATCTGTTTACCAGCAGGGGGTGAGGAACCCGGGGTAGGGGGGAGGTGAGGGACCAGGGGTAGGGGGGGATGGGGTGAGGAACCAGGGGTAGGGGGGGATGGGGTGAGGAACCAGGGGTAGGGGGGGGGTGAGGGACCAGGGGTAGAGGGGGTATGGGGTGAGGGGCCAGGGGTAGGGGGGGGGCGAGGCGCTAAATCGCGGGAAACTGTCTTGGCCACCTTCAGGAATGTCGAAGTGTTGGTCTTAGAAACTCTTGTTCTTTAATATCAACGTCTTGCTATCAAAGTGTTGGCGTATGAGAGAGGGCAGCTGGTGAAGGTGTAGGGCCCGCCAGCTGGGTGAACCAGCTGTGCAAGAAGGTCCTCCCAGCTGTCGCTTGCCGCCACCCACCTGCAGGGCTCGCAGGGGGCGGGGCTTAGCCCTCCGCCGCCTATATATATACCGAAGACCAGCATCGCGACTTCACTCGCTCTCGGCAGCAACTAGGGGACACGTCGGTGTGACAGCTCGTGAAGAATGAAGGCCGAGCGGTGTGTTTCTCCGGTGCAAGCAGTGATGGGAGTTCTGGAAGGAAAGTCTGGGAAGCCGTCAAGTAAGGCAGAGGCCACGCAGGTCCTCATGTACATGGATCGTCTACAGCAGTTGGTGCCACAATGCCCGAAGGATCGTCCGGTGTCCCGCCTCGAGCTCATTCAATTTGTGATCGACTACATCTACGATCTGCAGCAGGAGCTGGCCACGCCCCCTCACCCCAAGGATGACGCCGACAGCAGCGATTCTGTATTCGAGGACTCCACCACCGAGGACCCCAACACCACCTGAAGCTCCCCTCCACCCCACTCACTTCTGTTTATAACGCAGAAGGCCCCCCCGAGTTGCCGCCAGCGCAGCTGGTCACAGCCGCCACTTCGTCATCCCCAGCACACCAGCTGTGCCCGACGCTCGGAGGACATCCTTCAAACGGATAACTATTTTTTTCCTGGCGTGAGTGTAGTTATATAGTCTCTTAATGGGACTGGTTCTTCGAGGGTCAGTTGACGACCCTGTATGACAGGTTCACAGCTGGCCAGTACTTAGTGAGGCCCTCTAGATAAGACGACCTCAAGTGTTTCACGTGGGTTACAATAGTATCACCAAACAACTGTGGCTAGGGCGGGGCCCTGAAGACGACTCAGCACTCGATAAAAGTCCCTCAAGATAATTTTAAATTCTGGAGATGGCCTTCAAAACGACAAAGAAACTCGTGAAGACGACCCAGTACCTGGGCTGGACCCCCAAGATGTAACACTGAGCAGATCTTGGCCTCCAGCTTGACGCCGACGCTATCACCCTCTCAGGTAAATTACTAACTAATCTTCTCTCACCATCACCGACTTCTATAGTCACCTTACTTCCTGGTCTGCTGACTATATCTACCTCCTTCCTTATCAGCTTTTCCATCGTTCTGTAGAATCAAATTTTTCGGTCACATTACATTAACAAGTTGCTGAATCAAACGATTTCCTAAATATATTGAAAGAATATTAAAATGCACCGCTATATATATTGTGTATATGTAATGTTATTTGCACTGGTGCATCATCCCATCTCTATTTTCATTTGCAGTTGACGGTACAGCAAATTCACCTTCACTCCTTCCGGACGAGCCTAAAACCACCTCGTGAACGGTCAGAGCGAAGTCGTGTGAGCTGAGCCAGCGCCCCAACGCATGCCCCGCCCCCCCAACACACACACACCCCTGCCGGACTAACCCCGTCCGGTTGAACTGGCAGAACGCGTACCAACTGGCTTTCAATGCCCTGGGAGGTACGTCGCACGAAACATGGTACTGGCAAGCACCTGTGGGGAGACGCACCTACCCCTGCCCTCCCCACTACCACCTGTGGGGAGACGCACCTCCCCCTGCCCTCCCCACTACCACCTGTGGGGAGACGCACCTCCCCCTGCCCTCCCCACTACCACCTGTGGGGAGCGAGGGAGCACCTGCACCTGTCACATGACATTCACTACCTCACAAGCCGTGTTCTCACACTTCCCGCTCCTCTCGCCAACACCAGTCACCTTAGTTTGGTGATGGTCTATCAACCTCTGAAGGGTTATTAAGGCCGCCACAATTGTTAACTAATCAACCACAAGAATACTTTAGTGTTCTTAGTATTGTATACAGTGTACGTGATTGTGAATTGGGAGTCAGAAGGGTCACACTTCACCTTTGTATCAGAAGACCAGCAATTACTAACGTTATAAACAGAGAAGCCGGGTACACCTGTGTGTGTGTGTGTGAATATACACCTTGAGGCCAGCCAGCTGCAGCTGGAGCACCAGAGGCCAGCCAGCTGCAGCTGGAGCACCAGAGGCCAGCCAGCTGCAGCACCAGAGGCCAGCCAGCTGCAGCACCAGAGGCCAGCCAGCTGCAGCACCAGAGGCCAGCCAGCTGCAGCACCAGTGGCCAGCCAGCTGCAGCTGGAGCACCAGTGGCCAGCCAGCTGCAGCTGGAGCACCAGAGGTACGCACCACCTGCCAAAAGGGTTACTGCGTCACGCCGTGGCTCCTGTCTTCTCCACAGAGACCAGAAGTGATTGGTTTTCGTGTTGTTATTCTTAAGAGAACACACACATTTGTGGCGTAGTATTTGGAGACGCTCGTTAAACTTAAGTCAAATCTGCAAGTAATTACACAAGTCTAACTTTACACGGCAAAGTTTTCTTTAAACAAAAAGTCTTAATATTGTATTTACCTACAAAACCACTTAAACACTTTCAATAAATATTATAAAATACTAATTGTTTTTTTTGTAATATCCTACTGAAAAAGGTTCATCTTATGCCCCGTTATATACGGTATTATAGCGAGGAGCACAATGTTTATCTGTTAATGTCTGTCTGACGATGTTAATGTGCTCTCATTCAAGGCGTGTTCTTACAACTATATAAACACAGTAAACAGAGAATATAACCATCAACTCATCAACCAATAAACCACAGCAGCTGGAAAAAAAAAGAGAGGGATGCCTATACGCGCTAAGAAAATATCTTCAGAAACATCATAAAGGTAAACCAGTTTCCGGGAAGGTAACTCATCCCCTTAAAGAAGGTATAACATTAAGGAAGGTATGCCGGTCGATGGGATGGGAGCCGGTCGGCCGAGCGGAGAAACAATGGGCAGAGTTTCTTTCACCCTATGCCCCTGTTACCTAGCAGTAAAATAGGTACCTGGGTGTTAGTCAGCTGTCACGGGCTGCTTCCTGGGGGTGGAGGCCTGGTCGAGGACCGGGCCGCGGGGACACTAAAGCCCCAAAATCATCTCAAGATAAGAAGAAGGTAACTCAACAACTGTGGGTCAAAGGAGAGTGGCCCGGGGAGCCCGCCCGGCCCACCTACAAAGCATGACAAATCAAAGGTTAACTTATATTAGAATTACAAAGAAATATTCTAATGCATCTTCCATAACGGAGAGAAATGCTATCGAGCAAGTTCCAGTCCTTGAAGCTGGGCATTATGTAGAACAGGTAAACCACAAGACTAAGTGGTCTTAGTCTCCGTTGTGTAGTGGTAAGACACTCGCCTGGCGTTCCGCGAGCGCTATGTTATGGGTTCGTATCCTGGCCGGGGAGGATTTACTGGGCGCAATTCCTTAACTGTAGCCTCTGTTTAACGCAACAGTAAAATGTGTACTTGGATGAAAAAACGATTCTTCGCGGCAGGGGATCGTATTCCAGGGACCTGCCCGAAACGCTACGCGTACTAGTGGCTGTACAAGAATGTAACAACTCTTGTATATATCTCAAAAAAAAAAAAAAAAAAAAAAAAAGGTGTGTTTATGTTTCAACGTAAGGGATACGTGCGTACTAAGCGTAAAGTAATCACCACAACAGGGAGAGGAACTGTATAGGTACGGTGCATGATTCAAGGATAACTTGTACAAATTAGATATTCTTACATAATGTCGCACGTTGATAGCACTCCACAAAGTTTATATTGCCTTTCATCGAATTCAGTTAATTTGGGTTTAGCATCTTTAAATTGTATTTATTTAATTAATTCTTGTATTTATCAACAAATGCTCATGGAAAGCAGCAGTAGGTCAGTACCAAAATACTGTGCGATAACTTAGAACTTTCATAGAAAACGTTCGCCAAATTGTGGGATAACTTGTGTAATCAAATCGACTCTCTTGAAGTACAATTTTCAGATTCTGGGGATGTGGGGTCGAGTTCCAGTTCTTTGGTCCCGCTTTCAACCTTCGGTCTAACCGTGTGCAGGTTTCGAGCCTATTGGGCTCGGTTATACCTACATATCTAACTTTGAAGTTTCGGTTAACAGTAGGCTTCTGCACACACAAACTTGTTATGAACTATGAGACTTTACAACTATTTCACTCATGAATATCGGAAAGTTATAAGTACAGGTGTCTAATATAATTTGGTCTTACACCTTTCCTTACTAATCATTCACTTATATAGTGTTCAAAAGAGTGTCCACTCTTCTTCACAACAGTTAATAATCAGATTTTATTATTATTAGTATTATTAGTATTATTTTCTACCACAGACGTGGCCACACATTTACAATGCTAACCAGCATATATACATTTTCTTCAGTCCTCCATGGACAGGGTTAGAGATGTGTTCAACATATAGTCCGGTGATCTATTGAACAATGAACCACAGAAGGTGATTGTAGTGTTTTTAAAATGCTAAGCTAACCTACATACATAAAACACACAGATTTACGTCACATCAGAGTGACGTAAATTTGCATTTATGTGCTGTGTAAATCTCGGCAGATTCATTAGCTACAGTTACCTGCCCAAAGGATCGATGTCACAGCCGATGTTACAGTTGAGAGGCGGGACCAAAGAGCCAAAGCTCAACCCCCGCAAGCACAAATAGGTGAGTACAGCCTTATTTCTGGCAGTTACAGTGTACCAGGTGTCTACTGAACAGTTTGTGCTGTTCGAACAAAGAGTTCTCTGTTCTAAATATATCGTAAGTTTTTTATACTAGTGCTTTCTGGCCGCTAGTGTAGTTTAGTATGCACCCCAGACCCATCCTGAGGTCAGAGTCGGGAAGGTCACACGTCATCATTGTCTCAGAAGATCAGCACTTTCTTGAAACGAGATAAGCGCTGGTTGAGCGACCTGACGGTGATTTCTCAAGCACCAGTTTACCTTAACTTGGTAACATCTCACTGCCTGAAAACACTACCTGCATTTCACAATAATTATCCCCCAGACCTCGAGTATTATCCCCTAGACCTCGAGTATTAATGACGGACTTGACAAGGGCGAGGCTCGCCGCTCCTCCTCAAGTTACTGGAGGCAACCAATGCCGCCACTGTTACCCTCTGTTGGTTGAGATGAACACATCATCATTCACTGCCACACCCAGAGGACCAATAAACCCTAAACCCTTGTTCAATAAACCCTTGAACTATATGTTTAACACATCTCTAACCCTGTCCATGGAGGACAGAAGAAAATGTATATATGCTGGTTAGCATTGTAAATGTGTGGCCACGTCTGTGGTAGAAAATAATAATAAAAAAAATAAAAAATAAAAAAAAAAACTGCCACACCAGCGGGTCCTTTGAGGACATAACAGCACCCAGATACTTTACTGAATATTTCACTGCAATGTCTTCCTAGTGGTTTCAGTTCAAGGTTTGTATAAAACGAGTTTGTGGGATCGAAACTACAAGCTTGATCCATGCTACAGACAAGCACCGATTCGCACACTAGTATTTGATGCACGACTATTGCTATTCAATTACAAAAAAATTTATTTATACCAGTTGGGATAAACAGTTGTGTCTGGGACACACTCTCCGTCCCCCTCTCCTTACTTTCTCCCCCCCCCCCTTTCCACCTTTCTACCCCAACATGCCCCATTTAAAAAACCTCATCTTCAGAAGGTCACAGCTGCTCTGGAGGAGGTGCAACACCGGGCAACAAAAGTCATTCCAGAGCCAAGACCTCTCCCGTACCAGGAACGCTTGAAGGCCACAGGCCTATCAACACTGCAAGCCAGGCATGACAGGGCGGATCTCACCGAAACTTAATATATTGAAGAAATTAGAGGATGTTGACCCGGATATTTTCATCAGAAGGTCGGATGTAACACAAACAAGGAGCAACGGTTCAAGCTCAACAAGCCACAATGAAGGACTGAGAACAGGGTGTGTTTTGTTTCATCCATAGGGTTATTAACCCATGGAACAGCCTATCCGCTGAAGCTGTAACTGCCAAAATTATGTCGAGTTTTAAAATAAATAAACCTGGAAAAGACCAATGTAAATGGGGTGGGAGGCATCGACAAGCCGCCGGCTTCCTGTCGTCATCGAGGCTACTAGGGTTAGTGGCTCACGGGTAAACCGGGTATTTTTTCCCCCCCAACTCTAATAAATTCACGTTCCTCGTTTTCCGTTTTGTATTACCATATTTAGGTAAGAACATTTATGCAGCTTCCCTAGACTATACAAAGTGTCAAGAGCTAACTATGAAATACCAAGACATACCCCCCCCCTATCTCACAGGATGGATAGTCATACAGGGGCTTGTGATCGGTAGCCTGAGCTTGCAAGCTGTCAATGTAGTATGTAGGTATTCTCTAGACCACGAGAGGGAATAAAGTTATTACAAGTCTCCAGGTACCTCATACCGGCAGGTCTGTAAGGTCTAATGACTGGACACTCAGTTACGTAGTGTGTGAGATCATGATCCAGTTCTTATTCTATGTTGTCACATGGTGTGTCAGGGTTGGGAGACTCGTCCCTTGTAGCAGCCTGCCACAGGTAACGGTAATCCTGGCTGATCCTGGCAACCACTGTGTCGCACTCTCTGGTGGAGGGTTTTTTTTATCGACACATTTAGGTACATCTGCATTTGTGCTGGTGCCCTAGACTATATGAAGGGAAGCACAGTGTGTCAAAAAGCTAGCTACGTGATGCTAAAACTCCCCATCACACAGGATGGTTAGTCATACAGAGGCATGTGATCAGTAGTCTGCACTGGCAGACTCTGGGTGTATTATGAGGATATCATCATCAACACGAGAGTGAATAAAGTAATTGCAAAGCTCCAGATACCTCATGCCAACTGGTCTGAAAGGTCTAATAACTTGGCATTCAGTGATGTAGTGCGGGAGATCATGCCGCAGTTCCTGCTCACAGAGTTTGCACCTGGAGTGCTCAGGATTGTCTGTCATAAGTCCAGAGAGAACGCATACAAATCTACGGACATCACATGCCCGATTTTACTTCAGTCTTCCGGGAAATCGTAGGGGATGACTTACGAGGCCATATTTCTTGAAGCATGGTACTTGGGCCAAGCTCTTGCGGCTCATGCCACCCGCATACCACACCTGTGGCCTACCTACCACCGCGGACACGCACACAAACATCCTATGGTCTAGACACTCGAGGCGGTACCCGACGCTTCCCCTCCCACTTTTGCCCTTCGTCAAAGTGCTATACAACCGTAATGGTTTAGTGCTTTCTCCTGATTATCTACCTTCCCCCTCCCCACTCTCTCCTAGTCTCTCCCTCTCCCATATCTCTTCCCCTCTGTTCTCCCTCTTTCCTTATCCACCTTTCTCAAGATGTCCCTCACCCCCCTATCCTCTTCCCCAACATCGTCTCACTTCTCCCCCCCTCTCTCTCTCCACCTTTCACCCCTTCTTCCCCCTTTCTCTCGAGAAAAATTATATTATGAACTAAAATTGGGAAGTCTACGGACAATACAACAAATATTTCGTACTTCACGAAAACCGCACAACAGGTGTTGGTGGGGGGGGGGGGAGGGGGGGGGGGGGGGAGGGGGGGATTGAGTTCGATACTGATATTCCTTAAAAACTGTGACACTGGAGCCAACCCCGACTAGTCTAGAACACCACCTATCCCACACCTTCATGTGTGAAAGTTGTTGGGCGAGGTCAGCCCCCAATCATTTGACCCCCAATCATTTGACCCCCAAACATTTGACCCCCAGTCATTTGACCCCCAGTCATTTGACCCCCAATCATTTGACCCCCAATCATTTGACCCCCAATCATTTGACCCCCAATCATTTGACCCCCAATCATTTGACCCCCCCCCCAACCTTGAACAATCCTTATATTAGTAGTAGGCATCCATCAGTCTCACACGGGCCATTCATGCCCGTGCCACCTCTTGGGTGGCTTAATCTTTATCAATCAATCATAGAAGACACCTCCCAGTTATGGCCACCTGGAAGTGAGGATACAGAACCTGCCGGGCCAAAGCCAGACGGTCGCAGAACCTGTGCTTGGCACGGATAGTACTGACGACCAACAGTGTTTGATCGTTTGTGAGTTGAAACACCATAGGTGCTCAGTGTTGGCTTGTGTGCACGTGGTGGTTGATAACCTGGATACACTGCTTGTGGTGTTGGACGCCCTGTATTCACCCTAGTTGTGCTTGCGGGGGTTGAGCTCTGGCTCTTTCGGCCCGCCTCTCAACTGTCAATCAATTTTACACACACACACACACACACACACACACTCTGTACACCAGTTGATTGACAGTTGAGAGGCGGGACCAAAGAGCCAAAGTTCAACCCGCACAAGCACAAATAGGTGAGTACACACACACTCACACACACACACACACACACACACACACACACACACACACACACACACACACACACACACACACACAGGAAGCAGCCCGTAGCAGCTGTCTAACTCCCAGGTCCCAATTTACAGGGGGGATCAGGGTGAACGAAACTCTGCCCATTTGTTTCCGCCTCCACCGGGGATCGATCCCCGGATCCTAGGACTACGAATCCCGAGCGCCGTCCACTCAGCCGTCAGGCCCTCTTACGTGGTTAGCATGCAGGGGCTCGCCGCTACAAGGACGCCAACATAACGCTGGTAATTAGTTTACACTCTCGCTGGACCACTCCGTAACCACACTGAATTGCTATGATGTAATCTACTGTTTAGCAACAATGGTGCGGCCACCTGCGCGCGCACCTGGAGCACCACTAAAGGTTCGCTTTATGACACCCAATAACACATTATAACACGCGTACATGACACTAACCGCTTTAATGGACCAGACAGTTAAACGGAAGACACGTTGCGTTAAATGGCTCAGGTGAGTCATCAGACTCGACGCAACTGCCATTCCCAGGATCATAACAGTACGGATGGCGCATATATATATGTAGCTTTTCTCCAAAGCATTACATTTATATGCATGGCCGGGATTTTGGGGGTACGCCTAGAGCCGTTGCCAAATGTAGTGTAACCGCAGGAAGTGACAGTAATGTCGGCATACCAAGTATAGTCCCAAGATCTTAAAGACGTCCCGCTCATGCTGCACCGTCCTGGCGACGTTGACGTTGAATCGACTTGAGAATGGTCCAGGACGGACCGCAACGTCGTCGTCCCTTCACCTTCTAGTGTGTGGTCTGGTCAACGTTGACGTCCAGCATAAGTTTTAATAAAGGTTTTAAATATGTCAGTTTAATTTTAGTGACAACTTTCTTTCAGAAAACAAATATGTCAGTAAATTTAGTTTAGTGTGAGGAGGAAAGCCGGTGACGGATGCCATGACCTGCGACCACTGTACACTGGCCAAGCTGGGCGCCATCACCGTCGCCAGGCTGGGCGCCATACCTGTCGCCAGGCTCGGTGCCATAACCGTCACCAGGCTCGGCGCCATCACCGTCGCCAGGCTCGGTGCCATAACCGTCACCAGGCTCGGTGCCACAACCGTCGCCAGGCTCGGTGTCATAACCATCACCAGGCTCGGTGCCATCACCGTCGCCAGGCTCGGTGCCATCACCGTCGCCAGGCTCGGTGCCATCACCGTCGCCAGGCTCGGTGCCATCACCGTCGCCAGGCTCGGTGCCATAACCGTCACCAGGCTCGGCGCCATCACCGTCGCCAGGTTCGGCGCCATCACCGTCGCCAGGCTCGGTGCCATAACCGTCGCCAGGCTCGGTGCCATAACCATCACCAGGCTCGGTGCCATAACCGTCACCAGGCTCGGTGCCATCACCGTCACCAGGCTCGGTGCCATCACCGTCACCAGGCTCGGTGCCATAACCGTCGCCAGGCTCGGTGCCATAACCATCACCAGGCTCGGTGCCATAACCGTCACCAGGCTCGGTGCCATCACTCGGTGCCATCACCGTCGCCAGGCTCGGCGCCATCACCGTCACCAGGCTCGGCGCCATCACCGTCACCAGGCTCGGCGCCATCACCGTCACCAGGCTCAGCGCCATCACCGTCGCCAGGCTCGGTGCCATAACCATCACCATGCTCGGCGCCATCACCGTCGCCAGGCTGGGCGCCATCACCGTCGCCAGGCTGGGCGCCATCACCGTCGCCAGGCTCGGTGCCATAACCGTCACCAGGCTCGGTGCCATCACCGTCGCCAGGCTCGGTGCCATCACCGTCGCCAGGCTCGGTGCCATCACCGTCGCCAGGCTCGGTGACATCACCGTCGCCAGGCTCGGTGCCATCACCGTCGCCAGGCTCGGTGCCATCACCGTCGCCAGGCTCGGTGCCATCACCGTCGCCAGGCTCGGCGCCATCACCGTCGCCAGGCTGGGCGCCATCACCGTCGCCAGGCTGGGCGCCATCACCGTCGCCAGGCTGGGCGCCATCACCGTCGCCAGGCTGGGCGCCATCACCGTCGCCAGGCTCGGCGCCATCACCGTCGCCAGGCTCGGCGCCATCACCGTCGCCAGGCTGGGCGCCATCACCGTCGCCAGGCTCGGCGCCATCACCGTCGCCAGGCTCGGCGCCATCACCGTCGCCAGGCTCGGCGCCATCACCGTCGCCAGGCTCGGCGCCATCACCGTCGCCAGGCTCGGCGCCATCACCGTCGCCAGGCTCGGCGCCATCACCGTCGCCAGGCTCGGCGCCATCACCGTCGCCAGGCTCGGCGCCATCACCGTCGCCAGGCACAATACCAACAGTTGATTGACAAGTTTTCACGCTTGTAAACTGTTTAATAAATACTAACCAAAACCGTCAAAGACTGAGGAAAGATGTACACGTTCGTAAGTGCTGCGTAACTGCTTCGTGAATCTGGCCCCAGGTGACTACTTCACCCTGGGCCAGCAGGCTCTCCCAGATGGCCTACGGCAAGTGTTAAGAGGTTGACGACGTTATGAGAAGTAACAAACAGCGGAATACGGAATGTTACGGCCTCACTCAGCCAGTAACCAGGTTCTTTTTAGTCAAACTTTATATTGGGCCTTATTGCCTCTTCTTACCTGATCCATCCCAGAGAAATTGGTTATTAAGAACTGGCAGTGAGGGTAAAGCCAACGGGAATGGGGGTAAACACCACTAAACAAAGCCATCCCCATGTGTAGGTCTTAACTATATACACTTGTTGCATGTGTACACAACACAGCAGGTGTCACTCTCGCACACCACACTTGAGATTATCTTGAGATTATTTTGAGATGATTTCGGGGCTTTAGTGTCCCCGCGGCCCGGTCTTCGACCAGGCCTCCACCCCCAGGAAGCAGCCCGTGACAGCTGACTAAAACCCAGGTACCTATTTACTGCTAGGTAACAGGGGCATAGGGTGAAAGAAACTCTGTCCAATGTTTCTCGCCGGCGCCTGGGATTGAACCCAGGACCACAGGATCACAAGTCCCGCGTGCTGTTCGCTCGGCCGACCGGCTCCATTGACACTACACAAGAACGTCTGCGATCTTCTATACCGGCGAGTCCACTTCTGTCTTGTGTTGTACACCACTCAAGGTACCTTCCCTCAACCTGTCTTCTACGGTACTCACGCCGGCGAGTCCACCTTTCTCAGTAAATCATGGGCTACGCCTCAACAGTGTCACAGTGACAGTGCAGAATCGAGCTATTAGCTCTTGGACCCCGCCTTTCTAACCAATTTATTTTTTCTTTATTATGTCTAATACAGATAATTCTATCTCAAACACACACACACACACACACACACACACACACACACACACACACACACACACACACACACACACACACACACACGCGCGCGCGCGAGGAAGAGTTATAGGGTATGGAAGAGTTAGGGGGGACATGATCACCACATTCAAGATTCTAAAGGGAATCGACAGGGTAGATAAAGACAGGCTATTTAACACAAGGGGCACACGCACTAGGGGACACAGGTGGAAACTGAGTGCCCAAATGAGCCACAGAGATATTAGAAAGAAATTTTTTAGTGTCAATGTGGTTGACAAATGGAATGCATTCGGAAGTGATGTGGTGGAGGCTGACTCCATACACAGTTTCAAGTGTAGATATGATGGAGCCCAGTAGGCTCAGGTACCTGTACACCTGTTAATTGACTGTTGAGAGGCGGGACCAAAGAGCCAGAGCTCAACCCCCGCAAGCACAATTAGGTGAGTACGAGCTGTGTGCGCTACATACACGGTGGTGTAGTTCTGCTGGTAAGAAAAGCCTGGAGTTTTGAGGAGATGGTAATTCAGAGCTGTGAAGGTTTCAGTGACAACATAACAGGTAACATAGCAACTGGAGGACTAAAACCTTTAGTCGTATTCATATATAACCCCCCCCCCCCCCCTACCAAATGACAGACGACCCAGACAGGAATATGATAGAAACATCATGGCCACCATTAATATAAGAGAGAGAGCAGCTTCTGTCGTTAGCAGCAACGGATCTGGACTACTAATCATGAGAGACTTCAACCATGGGAAGATTGACTGGGAGAACAGAGACCCGCATGGAGGACCAGACACAGAGCTAAACTGATGGACGTGACAAGAAACTTTCTAAGCCAACACATCAAGGGACCGACAAGAATGAGAGGGGAAGATGAACCAGCCATGCTTGATCTGATATTTACCCTAAATGAGTGGGATATAAGGAAGTTAAATTGGAAGCTCCATTGGGAATGAGTGATCACAGTATATTGATCTTTGAGTACCTGGTAGAGCTAGGATTTATCTCCCCTAAAAAAGAACTAGGAAGCAAAGGGCTGGCATAGCGAAAGGAGAATTATGAGATGAGAAGTTTCCTAAAGGATATACCTTGGGACACAGAACTCAGAGAACCATGTCTGTACTAGACATGATGGACTATGTCACCAAAAAAGTGTCAGGAGGCAGTAAACAGATTTATCCCGGTCCAAAAGGAAAAATCCGAGAAGCAAAAGAAGAATTTGTGGTTTAATAGGGAATATATAAAAGCAAAATAGTTAAACAAAAGGGCGTGGAGGAACTTCCGAAATAACAGAACACCAGAAAGTAGAAAGAGATACCATAGAACCAGGAACGAGTATGTTAGTGTGAGAAGAGAAGCTGAGAAAAAATATGAAAATGCTATAGCAAATAAAGCCCAGACCGAACCAAAGCTACTCCATAGTCACATCAGAAGAAAAACAACGAAAGAAAGAACAGGTGATGAAACTTAGAACGGATGAGGACAGGTATACAGAGAATGACAAAGAGGTGTGTGAATAACTCGACAAGAGGTTCCAGGAGGTCTTCACAATAGAACAAGGTGAGGTCCCTGCACTAGGAGAGGTGGCAGTAAACCAGGCGGCCTTGGAAGGCTTCGAAATTAAAAGAGAGTAGGTCAAGAGACACCTGCTGGATCTGGATGTGAGAAAGGCTGTTGGTCCAGACGAAATCTCACCATGGATACTGAAAGCGTGTGCAGAAGCGCTTTGCTTGCCACTCTCCATAGTGTATAGTGGGTCACTGGAGACGGGAGACCTACCAGAAATATGGAAGACGGCTAATGTAGTCCCAATATACAAAAAGGGGGACAGGCAAGAAGCACTGAACTACAAGCCAGTGTCCTTAACTTGTATACCATGCAAGGTGATGGAGAAGATTGTGAGAAAAAACCTAGTAACACATCTGGAGAGAAGAGACTTCGTGACAACCCATCAACCTGGGTTCAGGGAGGGAAAATCTTGCCTTACTGGCTTGATAGAATTCTACGATCAGGTGACAAAGATTAAGCAAGAAAGAGAAGGATGGACGGACTGCATTTTCTTGGACTGCTGGAAAGCCTTTGACATAGTACCCCAAAAGAGACTGGTACATAAGCTGGAGAAACAGGCAGGAGTAACTGAGTGAGTGCTTCTGTGGATAAGGGAGTACCAAAGCAATAGGAAGTAGAGAGTTACAGTGAGGGGTGAGACCTCAGGTTGGCGTGAAGTCACCAGTGGAGTCCCAAAGGACTCTGTACTCAGACCAATCCTGTTTCTGATAAACGTAAATGATCTCCTTGAAGGTATAGACTCGTTCCTCTCAATGTTTGCTGACGACGCCAAAATTATGAAAAGGATTAAGACAGAAGGACTGCTTGAGGCTTCAAGAAGACCTGGACAAACTGAAGGAATGGTCGAACAAATGGGAGAGAGTTTAAGCCAAGCAAATGTAATGAAATGAAGATAGGTTGTAGAGACAAGGAGACCAGATACAAGGTATCATTTGGGAGATGAAATACTTCAAGAGTCAGGGAGAGAGAGAGAGAGAGAGAGAGAGAGAGAGAGAGAGAGAGAGAGAGAGAGAGAGAGAGAGAGAGAGAGAGAGAGAGAGAGAGAGAGAGAGACCTGTCCCCTGAAGTTCGTATCAAGAGAATAACATCAGCGGCATATGCAAGGTTGGCCTACATAGGAATGACCTTTAGAAAATGGGAGGAATTATTCAGAACTTTGTATACCACATACGTCAGACCAATCCTGGAGTATGTGGCTCCAGCATGGAGTCCATATCTAGTTAAGCTTAAGACTAAGCTGTAGTACGTTTAAAGGTTTGCCACCAGAGTAGTACCCGAGCTGAGGGGTATGAGCTACGAGGAGAGACTACGAGAATTAACCCTCACGTCGCTGGAAGACAGAAGTTAGGGGGGGACATGATCACCACATACATGAATTCTCAAAGGAATTAATAGGGTAGATAAAAGACAAGCTATTTATCACAAGGGGCACACGCACAAGAGGACACAGGTGGAAAAGGAGTGCCCAAATGAGCCACAGAGATATTAGAAAGAACTTTTTTTTAATGTCAGAGTGGTTGACAAATGGACATTTTTGTACATTGGGACTACATTAGCCGTCTTCTAGCTTTCTGGTAAGTCTCTTGTTTTCAGTGACCTGTTATACACCATAGAGAGTGGCACACTTTGTTCTTCTGCCTCTCTTAGTATCCATGATGAGATT